ACCTGACACTTGTTCCTGTTGGATTAGTTAAATGTGTAAAACCTGAGTGTGAAGAGGAATGACCAAAAATGTGAAACTGTATGTACTGTATGCTGGTGTATGACACGCCTGACAACTGGATCATTAAAGCCAATCTCACAAAGGCCTGTGCCCCTCCCCCGGCTGAATGGAGATGTCAAAGGTCTGTGACCTCTTCCATTTATGTGCATTGATCCCGCTACCGGGGGAGGGCTTCTTCCTCTAAGCCCTCCACCATCAGCTGTTATGTCTTAGTTTCACCTGCAGGAAACTGAGCAATTATATCTGTTTTTTCATTTACTTCAGTAAACATTTCTTCTCTCTTACCAACCATTCTCACTACAGTACATACACGTTAACAGAAATTAGTACATAGTACTTATTCAGAGCCAAACTTGGGATTTTATGGCAAAGGAGGGTTGTACGTATTCAGTATCACACTATAAGGTTTGATGAATAAAAAATTAAGTGGGCATCAAAATCCAGAGCAATTTCATTTAAAACTTAGGCTATGTCCACACGTACACGGGTATTTTTGAAAACGGAGATTTTCCGTTTTCGTTTTAAAAAATAATCCCGTCCACACGTAAAGGCAGAAATGAAGGAAAACGCTGCTAGGAACATGCCAAAGCAGCAGGTGGCGCTATATTCCGAACCGTGTAGATTGGCCAATCAGAAATCTAGAAGCCTCGGTGGGAAAAAGTAAACAAAGCTGGGGCATAGAAACAGAACCGAGTGGTATGTGTGGAGGGACAGTAACTGTGTGTGTATATGTAAGCATTTAAACACTGCAGAGAGTACAATTAACAGTATTGTAGAAATTCATTTCACCGAAACAATAACGTGGCGCACACTGTGACGTCAAAAAAGGTGCACATCTTTGACGCTGCGTTTTCTGCGTTTTTCTCGTCCACGCATAAATGCAAAAACGGAGATTTAGAAAATATCCACCCTGGCCGCAGTTTTTAAAAATCTCCGTTTTCAGTGACCGAAAACGCCGTTTACGTGTGGACGAAAGGTGCAAACGCATAGAAAAATCTGCGTTTTCAAAAATACCCGGGTACGTGTGCGTTTCTGTTTGAAAACGCATCGTTTTCTCTCCGTTTGGCCTCCCGTCCACACTGAGACGGCGTTTTCCCCAAGGAAACAGCAGTTTTGAAAATGGAGCTGTCCCGTCGCAGTGTGGACACTCGAAAACGCTGACTTTCTACTATGACATATTTTAGTCATGTGATGCAGCCATGTGACCAATTAAACAAAGATGGCGGAGTGCATTATACAGCAGTTGTTTTGATTGCTCTCAATTTTGACAGCCCTAAAAAAGATTAATATCTGCTGCTCCAGATAGCTTTTCTTCAAGTTCTTTAATTCTCATTCGCTTTTGCGCATGCGCAGAACTGGAACGTAAGCGTTTTTGGCCGTTTCAATGTGGACACACAACTCAGTGAAAACGACTGAAAACGCTAGTTTGGACGTAGCCTTAGGCTGAACTTAATTTAACGCACCCCTTAAATAAAATGCAGATAATTAACTGTTTAACATTATCCCCTCAGCTGACCATGAATTTGTGCTTCTGGGTGAGACTCTGCTTCACACCTCAGTGTTTACGGCCTGCTCAGGAGCAAAGGGGAAACGGAAACGCTGTAAGGATGAAATTCCTCTGAGCTGAAAGAATGCCCCGTTTTTTCTCTCTCTCTCAGTCCTAGAGTGATCTAGCTTTTTGTGATGGATGAAAGGAACTTATATTCAAGAATGTAGGACATGTAAAATGTACAGGTGCAGCCAAAAACGCTGGGCTGAACATCCTGCTCTTTGTTGCAAAAGGAGATCTGTGATGCTAATCTTGGTGGTGTGTCGGTGTGTGTGTGTACATTTATGCATGAGTGCTACGCAACCACAGTAGACACCACTTCCTGTTGTCCTGTTATCTATGATTCTGACATGCAGGGAAGGCTCTTATCTGTCACTGCTGGATTTTGTGCTTGACTAACCAAATGACTTAGTGAACCTAATCCTTAGTTTATTTAAGCCTCCTGTTACCATGCTCATCCTCTATTCATACACTCCTTTTTGTGGTGCAGTTACAGAATATTATCATCCAGACTTTTGCGCTCTTTTCATCTGCACATGCACCCCCAGAAATGAATGAAAACGAGCTGGTTGTGCCAGGAAATGTGTCAAAGGTTCACCATGAAAGCGGGAGTTCATGCACGTATTTGTGGGGGAGTGATGGCATGTCAAGGTGAAGGAAGGACTCTCGCTGAACTCATGGAAAAAGAAATTAGGTTGCGTCTTGCAAATCACATTACAGTAGGATTGTGGCACAAAGTACAGACTCATGTCTACACTGTTCCTCCTTTTTTTTTTTTAAGCTCAATCTCTCAGATTTTTGTGGACTCCATTACAGCAATATGAACTCACGAAGCGCAAATTGTGCGTGTGTCTCCACTGAGAGCACTCAGTCATAATATATCCTCATTCTTGCCACTGAAACCTCGAAAGCATTCAGCGGAGAATCCCTTCTTGCACAACAGTGTTATGGAACAGTGTGTTCTCACAGGGTGTACTGCTGTATTCCCTGCCCATGCACAGATGCCAGCTCCAGCGGTACAGTACCTGCAGACAGAAATTTCAGCATGCAGCTACATATTCGTTTTAAAGAGCACAGCATGTGCTGTGCCACAGTCTGGATCACAGCACAATACTGTGAAGGAAAATTTACGGTTTTGCTTTCCGAATCTTCCAGATAAAATGATCTTATTGTGTTTTTGTTCATAGCATCTTGAAGTAAGCCATTTAAGCATTCTTGAAACAATATACTGGAGTGTTTCTAGTTTAAAGGGGCAATAAAGTAAGTGCTGGCGGCACAAGCATGTGACTTGAAAAAAAGGGAGAAAGGTTTAGTTTTGATGTCACTTGTTATAAATCTTTTTTTTTTCTTTTTTTATTTACTGCATCTTTACAGACCAGTTTTACTTGGGCAGGATTAGAAAAAGATTAGACATTTTCACAACATCAACACGTTTGAAGGCTTCATTTCATCTAAAGGTAATGACATAAGCACATGCCTTTTCCCTAAGTTGCCTGAGTTATGACTAGGGATGGGTATTGATAAGATTTTCACGATTCCGATTCCATTTTCGATTCTGTTTAACGATTCGATTCTTTATCGATTCTCTTATCGATTCTTTTTAAAAAAGGAGAACACTAAGGTCTAATAGCTTAGAAGTTTGTTTTATATCTTCTCTTTGAACAAGATATAAATTTAGGAGTAACATGGCCTTACAAACCCAACAGTGAGATCTTAAGAGATCCACAGCCTACGGCTCTTCAATGGGGTGTCACAGGGTCCCCAGGAAAAAAAATTGTAAATGTAAAATAATAAAATAAATATTCTTCTGTAGCAATAACAAAGTATAACATCAATTATTCTGTAGCAATTACACAAGAATATCCAGTAATGTCCCTGCCTACAATTAAACACATTCACTTACCGAAAATCATCTGCTGTGACAAATGGGTGCAAACCTTTGACCACAAACTTAGTCACTGCTCGGTGACATTCGTCTATCCTGGTCTGAAAGGAGACGCTAACGGTAGACTGCAGTGAGAACTGCCAGCATCTGAGCCAGATTCTGTCTGTCTCTCTCATCATGGTCACCTAAATGCACAGTAATGGCAGGTTTTGTAATAAGGCAGATCGCGCTAACATAATATGCACTGTTAGTTGATTATTTACCTGCCGCATTAACGGGAGAGGACGTGCAAACGTTACCGCTGCTGCTGGGTTGAGATTCACGAGTCCGGAGCGGAATTAAAAACACGACATTCATTTAAGGTCATCGTGTGTTTTGTGAGCAAATGCTTTTGCATATTTGTAGTGTTTCCTCCCTTAAATGAAATATCTACTTTGCAAGTATTGCAAGTTGCCCTGTTGTCATCCATTCTCGTAAAGTAAAACCAAACTTTTGAGCGTTTGAGCCGCTTAGGCGCTGTGTTTCCTGCCAGGTAAATGACGCTCCGCAACGTGATGACGTCATTCGGGGCGACTGGAATCGATAAGGGAATCGTTTGCAAAAATGGCAAACAATTCCAAGGAATTGAAACACTGGGAACCGGTTCTCAACAAGAACCGGTTTTCGATACCCATCCCTAGTTATGACACTATTCTTCCAATTGGCCACATATTAAAAATTCCTGTCTAATAGTATGTTGGCCCAACTGTGTCCTGCCAAAATAGCATGGAAACATGATCTCTGGAGGTGCTTTTGGTGTCTGGCAAGGGACTTTGGCAGAAATCCACTCGGTAGGCTGTGGTCTGCGTTTAAGACGCTGATTGGTGAGCCACAGCTGAGCCCAGCATCCTTGTGCAACACTTTCAATTTTACTTGACAATGCATGAGGAGCTTCAGTTTCTTCCTTCTGAACAACTTTTTATTTTGTGGTCTTAAAGTACAGAACAACACTGTTTAAAAACTGCTTTTTTCCAGCAGCCATTAGTCAGATAAACATACCATAGCTTTGCTACATGTGTCTGTGTCTCTGCTGAAAATGTGAGTATGGATGACTCACTGCTGCAAAGTAAATCTACCTATAGGTACAAATAAAGTAACCTGAGCCTGAACCATTGCAATGAGATAAAAGAACAGCGGGTAGCTCTGCATGTTTGATTTGGCAGATTTTTTTGTTGTTGAATGTTCTTCCTGAGACAACCCCAAAAGGATTTGTATCCTCACCTGGGATCGAATCGAACCGATAAATTGAACTTTAGGCGAATGTCTAAAACACTATATTATGTCATAACTAAAGCAATTTCACTTCATCTGTCTGAATGTTCTGTTCACACAAGCAAGCAAAAGATTTATTTTTTTTAGCATTTACTGCTTTACATTTTGATTGGCATTGCAGTTTAGCTTTAAAATGTTCTTCTTATTACTCCCTCAGCTCTACCAAGCCCATTTAACACATACAGAAGTGGTCTGTTTTTGACTGCATGTCACATTTTATGTGACACGACAGCTATAATGGCATACAGCATTGCATATGATCATTAGTGTGTCTCTTAACTGCAGTGTTAATGGGTTTGGGTGTAGTGCTGTTTTTCCCCCTCCAGATGAGGAAATAAAACAATCAGAGTTAGTCTATAAAATGCAATCACCCCTAACGCATGTATCAGGAGAGAGCCGTCAGAGCCAAAGGCCAGGGGTCGGGTGGTACTCTGAAAGCCACGCCCACTGCAACCGAGGCCCAAAAAGCAAATAAGATCGCTTAATATTAGCTGGCTCAAAAATGTGAGCTTTTGCTATGTTAGCAAGCACTGTTATACGGCTAATGTTGTTTAAAATGCTTTAACTCGATTGACAGACGTTCAGTAGGCTAAAACTGACCTGTTAATATTTATGACCAAGAAAAAAAATTCAGCTTACTTCACATACATACACACACACACACACACAGGCAGTGGGTTAGGTTGGTATAAATTTTTCCTCTTGAAGTCTCAATTTTTCAGTTTAGCATGCTAAAAGTTTTTTAGTTATTTACCCAGGTTGTATTCAAGTGCTCTGCAACTTTCAGCCATTTGGTTTATTTTCAATTTATAACGAGAGGACGGAGTTGGCGACGATTACTTTCTGGATCAACAACAAAGGTAAAAGTATACCATGGCGTAGTGTACTGAAATGCTAAAAATGTGATTGAGTCGGGTAGCTAATGATGAGCTAGCTTCCTCTAATGCTAGCTGAAACTAGCATCAGTCTTTACTGTTATTGTTGGTACAGTAACAGTAAAGAGTATCAAAAAGACTGTTTTAATTCAGTTGTAACTGGTTCTTGTTTTTTATTTAGATTATAGGGCTTCTCCGAGGACTAATTTTATCAAATAAGTTGTTCATATTTTAGTACTTTTGAGCCACTATGTTGTTTGTTGCTGCATTGTGAATTTCTTATGTCCTCTTTCAAATTAAAAGCTCTGTAAGACAGAAGTCATTTCTGTCCCAGCAAGGCTTTTTCTTGTGAAACAATTGCAGGAACCCTGTATCAAAAATTCAACCCAGTTTTAATATGAGAAAATGGGGTGTATGGAATTATTTATGGGTTTAACCAGCCAACCTTTGATGACTGATTACTAATTCACGTGTTATTCTGTCACCTTGTAAAATTAATGAGGGGGGTGAGAGGGCTTCAGAGAGGGAGAGAGTGATTATCCATCCCACAGGGATATTAGCAGAGAGAAGAGGACACTTTCGGGGAGGGCAGTGGGGCACAATCACAAAGTGTTTTCTCTATATTTCTGTATGCACACATTAGCGGAACAAGAGCCAAAAATAATGGGCAAAAGGTTAAGGAAGTGCTAGGGTAATCAGTTTCCAGTCCTTTAAAACAAACCACAGATTCAGTTAAAAGATGTTAAAAACTTCTATATGTTTATGCTGAGGCCACAGAGACTGAGGACTTTGTGAACTGTCCATTAACATAGTCTAATAAATAATTTGTCATTTATAGTTGGTTAATGTTTCTAGCCTGGCCATCCAACCATGTGCATGTGTCTTATGCGCACTGCAGAACTAAAGCATATACCAGCTCGCTGTTCAGCACTTGAGCACATTTTCAGCTCGAGTGTAGCCAGAAATAAAACATGCACACATTCACCAGACTATTTTATAAGTAGATCTGTGCATTCACTTTAACACCAAAACATGTTTTACACAAACATCCATCCATCCATCCATCTTCATCCGCTTTATCCGGGGCCGGGTCGC